ACCTAAACTACCTCGCCAGAGTTTCTCGAAGCGATGGCTGCGCTGGCCGAGTTTGGCGAGGAGAAGTTGCGTGTAGCAAGATTGGTGCGTGGGTTCTGTCTTCTGAGTGGTGGGATCGACACAAGACTACACCGCTCACGCGGTCTCTATTCTCGTTGATTATGTAAACGCAACTGTCTTTGTACGCGCTCACGCTTCGTGTGGCGCCCGCAGTTTGCTCGCGACAGTAGCGACGCGCTGCCCGAGTCCATGGGCTTTCAGGAGAAAGTACGCGGGAATGTGGTTGTCGTGGCGATAGCAGATCGACGGCCACGCACCAGGTTGATTGCTGCTGTTGTTGGTGCCGAGGTGAAAGGGTCCTTCGCCCATGATGGCCGAGGCGCCAAACGCGCTACGCATATATCAAGTTAGGTCCTATGAGGACACTCCAGTAGGTATACAGTACCTTGTCCACGCATCGCCACCGACGACAACGAATTTAAAGATCATGAGCGAGTGGAGGAGGTTGAGCAGCACGAGCTCCTCGCCCGAGCTCATACCGCCGGCCAATGCAAAGGCGCCGGCGACCTTGGCGCTCAGGTCGTGTGTGGCCGGCCATGTGTTGATCCACGCCATGAGCTCGGGGTCCACGTTGGCGTTGTAGACGTTGCTCCCGAGGATCACAGCGTCGGCCCAGAGCACGTCCGAGATGGACGCGTTGACCGGGTGCAGCACTTTGATGGCTGTCGTGACGCTGGCAGCTCCACGCGCCACCTCCTGGCCAAACTGGGCGAGCCAGTCGTCGCCCGCGTGCACAATCAAGACGCGAGTCCCATTGGCCAGCCCACCAAAGTCGCGGTTGAGGCTCGTGCGCGACGCCAGCGCTGCTACTGGCGACGCCACCGTGTGCAGCGAGGAGGTCGGGACTGTCGCTAGTCGGAGCTCGTGCAGGATCGTCTGCGCTTCAGTGACGAGGTACACGACACATAGGAGGGTCGTGATGCAGATAGCGAGGGTCGCAGCCACAAGCGACCGCGTGCTGGCCTTCCGCGCGCTGCTCGGACGAGTGTCGTCGGCTTGGATGGCGCCGTACATATTGCGACTTGCGATCTGCCATCTCGCGTGTGATTGGCCAAAATGAAGATTTTGCATCAGGGCAAGGGCAGGTGTAGGGGACTTCCGACGTTGACGTTCCTGTGTCAAAAGTTGTTAGACTAGGGTTTCAGGTTGCTCGTTTCGATTGTATATACGCACTTCTTTATTCTTATTATATAAGAGCTCAACATATAGTCGTACATCGTTCATAGGACAAAAGGGCGGTCTTCAGGATCCTTGTTACGGGGCCATGTTGACGTCGGGGTTGTCGATCTCAAACGTGAGCGCGCCATCGGTGGCCGACAAGGTCACGTGGCCCTTGGCGCGCAGGGAACCGTCCAAGAGCTGGCGACTCAGTGCCGTCACCACTTGCTTTTCAATGTAGCGCTTGAGCGGGCGGGCGCCGTACTGCGGGTCGTACGCCGCATCCAAGATGGCGTCGAGCGCGGCCGTCGTCACGTCCATCGACACTTGGTGCGCGTCCTGGAGCCGCGTCTCGGCTGAGCGCAGCTGCAGCTGGACAATGTCGCGCAGCTGAATTTTGC